AGTGATGGCCACCAACTTGGATGGCTTAGAGGCAACTAGCCACAATGGCTGGCCTCTGTCTCTAGTCTTCTCTGTATACTGGCTGCAGAGAATCACAAGAGAGAAGAATGCTGCCACACTCAGATGCAGCCTACAGGCATCCCATGGGCATCTGACTGGCCACAGTAAAAAGACAAAGATGGACTAGATGGGTCTTTGGTTCTTCTTAGGTTCTTGTTGGGCCACGGGTGATGCTGTGGTCGAAACCACAGAGCCTAGGGCTTGCCAATCAGAAGGTCAGTGGCTCGAATCCCCGCGACGAGGTGAGCTCCCGTTGCTTGGTCCCTGCTCCTGCCAACCTAGCAGTTCGAAAGCACGTCAAAGTGCAAGTAGATAAATAGGTACCGCTCCGGCGGGAAGGTAAACGCCATTTCTGTGTGCTGCTCTGGTTCACCAGAAGCGGCTTAGTCATGCTGGCCACATGACCCGGAAGCCGGAAGCCGGCTCTCTCGACCAATAAAGCGAGATGAGCACCGCAACCAGAGTCATCCGCGACTGGACCTAATGGTCAGGGGTCCCTTTACCTTTAGGTTCTTGTTACTATGTACCAGCACTTCGGCTGCATTCACAAGGCAGTTCATTCCAATTTTCCCAAACTGTTTGTTTGTTACAATTTCTGAATTATATTTGAACTTCACATTATATAAAAGCCACCTCTGGAAATCAAGCAGACTATAGTGGAAGTTTAGCATTCACTTCTGTCTTAATTGCTTCCTGGGGGGGGGGGGATATGTGCCACTCCGTTAACCCAGAAAATCAGTGGATGAAATTTGGGGTGGCATACACAGTTCTTTTCCTGCCATCTTCATGGGTGAATCAGAAGTGTGCATGTGCAAAAAGGGGGTGGGAGGAGGGAGTGGTGAGTGACATTGCCTGACGATGTTCATTGTGTGTCACACAATGTGCTCTGCTGTCAATGAAATTTAGCACGATGTGCCAGTGTATTGGTCAAAAAGACACAGTTCCATAATGCAATAGCATGAAAGGAGCATTAGCAAACAGGACAAAGGCACTAACATTATAAACAGGTAAATGAAATATTTCCCAAGTCTGACTGCATCCCAATAGTGGCCACAAACAGAGTTCTCTTTAGGCCTGGTTTTTTTTAAAGGGCACCTGGATACGAATGGGGTTCACTGAGCCCAGACCTCTAATCTAACATCCAACCTCTGCTTTCCATTTCAGACTCAATGGGGGGGAAACCTGCAGAAATAAAAACACAAAAATACACAGAGCAATAGGTTTTAGAAGCTCTGACCATGGTGCCCTCTTGGCTCTGTCTCCTGTAATTCATTTCTCTGTACAGACATCACAATTTCCTCTCCCGTTTTTCTTATATTTGTCTGAGGGTGTTTTCAGCCAATCCCACATGCAAAAAATCAAGTAAGCAAGGAAATAATGATGTCTATACAACTGCAAGATTAGCTTTTATTGTGCTCATAATAGGCTATTAAAATATCATTGATAATAAAGGCAATAAGAAGCATTGTTCTCCCATGAAATGAGTTAAACAGATTAGTAAATTAATTGCCTGGAACAAAATAATTTAACACCTTCTGAACAGGAATCTGCCCAAAAGAAAATGAGAGGGTGCATAAAACTCGAAGAAAAGCCAGCCTACCATTGACTCACTCAGTCTCCTGCATTGCAGCAGTATCAATTAAACTTTTCAGTCAGGGACAGTTGTAGATGATGAAGTGATAACTTCGCCCAATTACCCATTTTAGACATTGTGTTATGACAAAAATAAAAAGCTAGCTTCAGCTTATATGCCAAAGCACTTCTCACACGAGCAACAGTTGAAAAAATTATGGTAATATTTGCAGATCGGAACCTGGAAGCTAGTTTCCTAATTTATTCCCAGAGGAGGGCTGAATTCTGCATAATGCTTTAGGTGTATAGTCTATGTACTTACCCAGATAAATCAAATAACATAAAACCTGGAAGCTTTATATAACCTGGGAAAAGTATTATGGTTTGGAGCTTGTAATAGTTTGGAGGCCTTGACACACTTAGATGGAGAAGCCATTGTTTGAGGAGAAACAGATACACTCCTACAGGCAAACAGAGGCTACAGTCTTACCACATATCTAAAGCACCATGATAGCACTTGAAACAGGCATGGCTTCCCCCAAAAGAACCCTGGGAACTGTACTTGGTTAAGAGTGCGGATAGTTGTTAAAGGTAAAGGGACCCCTGACCATTAGGTCCAGTCGTGACCAACTCTGGGGTTGCGGCGCTCATCTCGTTTTATTGGCCGAGGGAGCCGGCGTACAGCTTCTGGGTCATGTGGCCAGCATGACTAAGCAGAGCAGCTCCCGGAAACGCCATTTACCTTCCCGCCGGAGCAGTACCTATTTATCTACTTGCACTTTGACATGCTTTTGAACTGCTAGGTTGGCAGGAGCAGGGACCGAGCAATGGGAGCTCACCCCGTCACGGGCATTCGAACCGCCGGCCTTCTGATTGGCAAGTCCTAGGCTCTGTGGTTTAACCCACTGCTCCACCCGCGTTCCGCTGATAGTTGTTAGGAGACCCCTATTCCCCTTGCACAGCTACAGTTCCCAGAGTTCCCTGAAGAGGAATTGGTTCCTAATTTGGGGCTTTTGAAAGTGGATCAGTGCTTTAAATGTATGGAGTGGATGTTGCCAGAGTGCATGAGAATGTTAGTACGATGGTTAGTATTCAAGTAGCAGCAGTTATCACTAGGTTAGTTTAACTTGTTAAACATAATTCATAGGTCATCATATTATCAGCCATTTTTTATTAATCCCACTTATTCCATTAAACCTCCCCCTGCCCCGCAAAGGAGGAATAAATTTATCCTGCGTGTGCTGTCACCTACCACATGATTGTCACTTAAATATATATAATCTTTATTGCGGTCCAACGACCCATAACATGGATTCAGAATAAAATACAGATTCATACAGACAAACCCCCAGGGGAGGGAGACCAAGGTGTTATTTGTTTAGTCATGGGTATGTTGATCTTTGATTCATATGACTACTGAAAGAAACTTTGCCACGGCCACCGTGATATCATTGAACTTGTCATCCAGAAGATATTTGGTTTAGTAGGCTTCAGGTTGACCCGGCCAATTTGCCAATAGTGGTTTAATCAATAGTTCCCTAGCTTGATCATATTGTCCGCAATGCAATTTACTTAAACAGAATGAATGCATCTCCCTTTAGAGATCTTTAAATGATATTTAAACTCTTCCTTAAATACCTCTTTCAAAAGGGTGGCATTCAAATCCCTAAAAAAGAATGTTTCAACTTGAAACACAGTTGAATCACCATCAACATTGTCTTTAACAAGGGAATAATACAATAGTTATAATACAACTTTTCTAAACAAAATAAAATTTTGGCATTGCTAACTAACTCCCTAACTCTCCCTAGCACTTCTGAATCACATAGAAGGTTGCTAAAAATGCTCTTTAGGGATAAAACCAACAGAGTTGGCTGCTAAATTGGAGGGGGGGGGGCTTTTAATAGATTATGAGGAGTGGCAGGAGCTTACATTGATGGGAAACTGCTTTTTCCTTCTCTAAAACTTTATTTAGCCTTTCCACTTTTTTTCTACACTTCAGGTAGCAAAGGTATTGAGGGGATGCTCATCAAATTTGCAGATGGCACCACACTGGGAGGGGTAGCTAATGCCACAGAAGACAGAAGCAGAATTCAAAATGACCTTAACAGATTGGAGAACTGGTCAAAAGCTAACAAAATGAGCTTCAATAGGGACAAACAAAAGGTTCTGCACTTAGGCAGGAAGAACCAGATGCACAAATATAAGATGGGGGGGGCACTTGGCTTACCAGTAGTACATGTGAAAAGGATTTAGTTAACATGAGTCAACAGTGTGATGCAGCAGCAAAAAAAAGCTAATGCTATTTTAGGCTGCATCTACAGAAGTCTAGTGTCCAGATCAAGGGAAGTAATAGTGCCACTCTGCTCTGCCTTGGTCAGACCACACTTGGAATACTGTGCAGAGGAGGGCAACCAAGATGATCAAGGGTCTGGAAACCAAGCCTTGTGAGGAATGGTTGAAGGAGCTGGTTATGTTTAGCCAGGAAAAGAGACTGAGAGGAGATATGATAGCCATCTTCAAATATCTCAAGAACTGCCACATGGAAGATGGAACAAACTTGTTTTCTCCTGTTCTGGAGGGTAGGACTCAAACCAATGGCTTCAAGTTGCAAGAAAGGAAATTCCAACTAAACATCAGGAATAACTTTGTAAAGGACCAGGTGATGGTCCAGCTCTGGTTTCAGTATACATCGCAGAGACAGAGAGAAACAAACTCCACCCACTTTGCCACACCCACTGCTGCCGCAGAATTCCCAAAGGGTTTAAGGTATGACTGAAAAGATCAGTCATTTCCATTTAAAAGAATTAAAGGCGCCTAGCACAAAAGTCGTTGGACATATTTGCCCATAATTCACAATTATCCACAGGAGAGGGGGTTAGAATGCTTGCAAATTCCATACACTTCTGTCCAACCCCTGTCCCAAGTTATTGTTGAATGGTCACTTTAAAATGCGAAGGTTCATTATTGCTTCACAAGTTGTGTATGTCTTTAAGGGCCAGGGCCAGGGCAAATAATGAGACCCAGTCTTACAGCTGTGAAACATAGCAGTGCTGCCCGACAATAAATGTTGGAAATGTAATGAGACTGAAGGTACATTCTTTCACCTTTGGTGGACGTGCCCAAGGATTAAGACATTCTGGGAGATGATTTATAATGAAATGAAAAAGATATTTAAATATACTTTTTTGAAGAAACCAGAGGCCTTTCTCCTGGGCATGGTCGGCCAATTGGTGCCAAAGAAGGATAGAATTTTCTTTATGTATGCAACAACAGCAGCAAGAATACTCATGGCGAAGTACTGGAAGACACAAGATTTGCCCACCCGGGAAGAATGGCAGATGAAGTTGATGGACTACATGGAACTAGCGGAAATGACTGGCAGAATCCGAGACCAGGGAGAAGAATCGGTGGAAGAAGACTGGAAAAAGTTTAAAGACTACTTACAGAAATACTGTAAAATTAATGAATGTTAGAAGAATGTTGGAATGAAGTTATATGGCTTTAGTAGAAATGTTATAAGGAATTAAGTATAAATAGATTCATAGAGTATTAAAGGGAAAAATAAGGTTAGAATGTGTTAAGATAATTATAGGATAGAAAACAGAGGAAGATGGAAAGGAATTGCTGAAACAATTAATAGAAGTGGAATACAAAAAGGGAGGTATGAGGAGGTCGTGGAAATAAGTGAAAGAAAGATAAGATATTGAAATTGGACTGTGTTTTAAATGGTTTTTGTTTTGTTTTGTTAGTTGTATGTGTTAGTGTTTTGTAGTGTTTTTTGTACTGTATTGTATTGTTGTATGGGGGTTTTTTGGTTTTTTGTAGTGTTGTGTTTAATTTGTTGGAAAATTAATAAATATTATTTTAAAAAAAGAAAGAAACATAGCAGTGCTGCTGAGCTGTGCTAATCAAGCTGTGTCAGCAATTGGGTATAGTATATAAGGAGCAGCACCTAGCTCTCCCATTACCCTGGGGGATGGGTTGGTGGTTGGGTCTGGTTTGTTGTTGATGTATTTAGTGTATAAGGAGTTTTTGTTATTAAAACCTTGTTTAAGTTATTTTTGAGTCCCTTTTTAATGCATGGTCTCCCCAGCAAGCTCTCTGCAGCGCTACTAAACTGCAAATAGTCAACAGTTATAACCTATAGTGAGTGGGGTAAAATGAGTGGTCCCAATAGGGGTAGCAGCTCCCTTTGCAAGAAAACCACCGAGGCTATGCTCTCTGATACTCATGCGCTCAGAAGGTGTGGCCTGATCTGAAAATTTCACCCACTTCTGTCAAGAGGAAATAAGTTATAGCCATATTTTTAAAATTCCCTGCTAATTAATGAGGGAATAGGTTCTAATGATGGGATCAGGCAGTCCTAGACTGACGTGGGCAGTTTCCAAAGTGCCAAAATGGGGGTCTGTGCACATTCCAGCACCTAATAAATTTATTTTTCACAAAAGTGTCCAGGGAAGCCTCCACTTTCATCTGAATTATTATCAGGTTTCCTCATAAATGGAAAAGTTCCCTTGGACTCTGTGGTGTTCATTTCCCCCAAAGAAGAATTTATGAAACTTGCAGACAAATTGGAAAATGATAAATGCACCTTCAGCATCCACCAACCTTGAATAGATAGTGTATTTACCAAACAAGAAAAATCTTCCTTTTTGAAAACAGCTCTCCAGAAATGCCAGTGTGTTCCAAGATCAGACCATGGCAAACATAATGAGAAAATATTCTCTGCAGAGAACAGAACTTCCTTTGAATAAAGCTTTCCTTTATCACAGCATCATTCATGTTATGGCTGCTTTTGGCTGTAAAGAAGCACTTGAAGCACATCGTGGCTACATACATCCCGCACATTTAAAGCCCATTACTTTCTCTCCAAGAATCATGGGAACTGTCATTTACCCCCTCACAGAATTCTGATTCCCAGCACTCTTAACAAACTACAGCCTGACTGTCACAAGTTTTTCCATATATAATGCCAGTGAGCATTCACTAGCTTGTTCCCACTCCGTTGGGAACAAAGAACTGATGAGGCTACCCGGCCCATGTGGGCATTCAACAAATCCTATGTACACATCTCAAGCCTGCCTCTGGGTACTAGATGGTATCATTGTGGAGGGAGGCAGCATGTCCCAGAGCTGACAAAAAATAAAGACACCTTGCACAAAATAAAGACATATAACATTCCTGTCACCACAGTGTTTACAACACAACTCGCTGTTGTTAAGTATAGTAATTTAATTCACTGATATTGTAAATCAGCCTTTCTCAACCTTGGGTCCCCAGATGTTGTTGAACTACAACTCCCATCATCCCTAGCTAGCAAGGGCCGAGCTCAGGGATGATGGGAGTTGTAGTTCAACAACATCTGGGGACCCAAGGTTGAGAAACACTTTAAAATGCTTGCATTACTATGTGTTCAAAGTAGATTGGTTGGCAGCTGAATTCTAGAGAGTTCTCTAGCAGTTCTCCTGTGATTGGCTAACATTGGTCACATGGGAGGTATCTAGTGAAGGAGAGACTCCATTTTATGTGAAGCAAGATGACTGTGTTTTAGAATCCACTGTGAACACTGCTAAGTTGAATAGAGTGTTGGGATGCTTCTTCTCTGCTTGAAAGAGAGCAAAGAAGGTAAAAGTGGAAATCTCTCATGGCCTATTTGGGAAACAGAAGGCTGAGTGCTGCGCTCTGGAAAGGGAGGAAAATACCGTTGTTTGGAAGTCAGAAGAAGAGACTGTAAGCCCATGCATGGAGAAGCATGTGACTGTAAACATTGTGTTTTAATTCATCTATAAGTTTCTGCAAGTAAAGTTTTTGAATGTCAAAGTCTGGACATTGGTTTAATTTCCAAAGAAGGGTGTCAGTCATATATATGATCTGAGCTTCTTAGCTGCGTTTTTCTCCCCTACTTCAACAACTGTTTCTTATGTTATGGCTCTATTAATCTATTGCAGAAATCCACAGCCCTTGAGACATTGTTGGACACCTTAAACCATCAGCCTGAGCCAGCATAGCCAATGATTAAGACTGATGTGAAGTATAGAGCCACACGTTCATCACTCAATATCTATAGGATTGGGGTGCCCAAGCCATTAACATTATACTAGACAAAATGAGCTTACATCAGTTCACCCAGCATTCAAATAAGACTGCACACCATGTTTAGTCTTTCAGTTTCTGGATCTGCTTACAGGCCATGTCGTCTTCAATTCTTTATGGTCTCATTGCAAGAATTAGCAACGGTGAACACAGGGCTGGGCGGAAATGCACTTGCATCACAAGAATACACTATGACTCAGAACAGAGCGGAAAACTATTAAAAACCTGACTTGATACCGAACTTTTTGATGTCAGTAGGTTTATGCGAGTGCCATCACTGTTTCCATGGTGACAAACACTGACAAAAGGGGGGAAACACAGAGCAGGACTATTAAAGGCGAGATGCAAGCAAACTAAACACAACAAAATGGCTTCAACAAATATGGGATGGCACAGAGAGACATGAGTCTAGGTCTCCTTTTTTATTTTTTTAACAAAGTGGCAATAAATTATATAACCAAGAAATACTATAATATTATTTTCCTAAATCAAGTGTGGGGAACTTTTGGTCCTCCAGAGGTTGCTGGATCACAACTCCCACCAGCCCCATGGCTAGGGAAGACGGGAGTTGAAGTTCCCCACACTTGACCTACTATTATCATTATTTAATAAATTCGTTATTGCTGTATCTTGCCCAAGGGAACTCAAATTATACAATACCATCTGGCTGTGTTGCCCCAGCAACTCATTAATGATCACAGTGACTGCACCAATATACTGTATATGGGGTATGTTAATCTCATGGCTGCCCTGGTCACAAGGGCTTTATAAACCAAAGCCAAAAAAATTAAGCTGGCTCAGTACCACATAGGCAGTCATATGAGCGTTAACAGGTTGGTTATGCTGTTATTTGGTGACCAGGGCTAGACTAGATGGGTCGTTGGCTTGATCCAGCAGCAGCAGAAGAAGAGTTTGGATTTGATATTCCGCTTTATCACTACCCGAAGCAGTCTCAAAGCGGCTAACATTCTCCTTTCCCTTCCTCCCCCACAACAAACTCTGTGAGGTGAGTGGGGCTGAGAGACTTCAGAGAAGTGTGACTACTAGCCCAAGGTCACCCAGCAGCTGCATGTGGAGGAGCGGAGACGCGAACCCGGTTCACCAGATTACGAGTCCACCGCTCTTAACCACTATACCACAGCAGGCTCTTCTTACATTCTTAATACATAAAATGGCATTAACTTCTTAAGAAGTTAAAGCTGGCTTAGTTTCTTTACTTGTTCACATTCCTTTTGTTTATTGTGTTTGTAGCTAACCCTTTGCACTCTGTATCCTCTGCGCTTTATATTCCACTTTAATATGGACAACCCCTTTCATGGTGGGGACCAGGAGGTTATCTACATTAAATTGCAAACTAGTTTAAGACTCATTCGCTCACCCTAGGGAAGCCTGGCAACTGTGGTTTATGAGAGTCACTACGGATCTCTGACAGAATTATCAATATCAAACGACATGCCACTGAACTCTTTAGGGGATTCCACGGCAATTAAAGTATGAAATGACTGCAAGTTTGTTGTGTACTTAGTTATACCCTAGAACGGCAACTTTCCTTTCTCTTTTTACAAACTCACCGGTTGAGTCAAACGACTCAGCAAGCGTTCCTTCCTTTACATCTTACACCTGCTGTGTGTGACATTTCACAAGTTTGATGAATGACTTTGTTTCCCCCAATTATAAAGTCGAAGGCTTAACCTTTCTCGGGAGCTCTGCAAGAACAAAAGTATCATTAATTATCACCCTTTTTGCATATCCACGAATTGCTCAGCCGCAACATCTCTAACACAAAAGCTGTGGTGGGTGGGGGAAATCTGAGACAGCTATATCTTTTGCCCATCAAGCTCATGCCACTTAATATTTGGAAACAGTAAGAGGTAAGCCAGCCCCCTGATCCTGTATGCTCAGAAATTAAGAAGCATTCCTCTGCATGGGAGAATCGTTATGGGGCAACACATGACACCACAAGGACACACACACTGGTGTCCAGTATACCTGAAGGACCCCACTGGTCTGCCCGGACACTGAGATTCAGCTCCAAGGGCCTTCTAGTGGTTTCCTCATGGCAAGAAGTGAAGCTACAGAGAACCAGGCAGAGGGCCTTCTCGGTAGTGGCGCCCACCCTGTGGAACACCCTCCCATCAGATGTCAAGGAAATAAACTATCTGACTTTTAAAAGACATCTGAAGGCAGTCCTTTTTGGGGAAGTTTTTAATGTTTGATGTTTCATCGCTTTATTGTTAATATTATTATTATTATTATTATTATTATTATTATTCTGTTGGGAGCCGCCCAGAGTGACTGGGGAAACCCAGGCAGATTATCGGGATATAAATAATAAATTATTACAGTGGTACCTTGGGTTAAGTACTTAATTCATTCCGGAGGTCCGTTCTTAACCTGAAACTGTTCTTAACCTGAAGCACCACTTTAGCTAATGGGGCCTCCTGCTGCCGCCGCGCCGCCAGAGCACGATTTCTGTTCTTATCCTGAAGCAAAGTTCTTAACCTGAGGTACTATTTCTGGGTTAGCGGAGTCTGTAACTTGAAGCGTATGTAACCTGAAGTGTATGTAACCCGAGGTACCACTGTATTATTATTATTATATGTCCAGGGGTAGATCTTGCCCATATTCTTGCTGCTCTCTTCATGCGTTCAGTATCCATGGGTCTCCCTCATTTCCTTTTTCTTCTCAGCACTTCAAGGAGGACTGAATACGGTAGAATAAACCATCAGGAAAGGGGGGGGCTTTGTCCCTCCAGATGCTGCTGAGCAATAA